TTGTAGTATGGGCTCTGTCGACGTTTCCATGTTTGTTCTAAAAGAGTCCCAATGGGTGACCTCTCTGGTGCACTGTCGAGTCCCACGAAATCCATGTAGATCTATAAATATTGGATAGTGATCACTGCTCATTGTGTCAGGGTATCGTTTCCTATCTACACACAGGCTTGGTGAGTGGACAGTGATGTCGATGGCGCTGTAAGTGTCAGGTGGTCGAAAAAACGTTGGACTGCCGTCATTCGCCACAGCAAGATTGCATTCTTCAAAAACTCTTACCAAAGCCCGGCCGCGCGTATCATCTCTGTTTGCTCCCCAAAGGCCATGGTGTGCGTTCCAGTCGCCGCACATTAAAATCGGATCCTCGCAGCGTTGGCAGATTTCTTTTACACAATCTGCAACTTTGATTCCGCCCTTTCCAGCACGGACATACACTGTTACCACACACAAAATCTGATTGTTGAATTTGACACGAGCTGCTATAATCTCCAAATCCTCTGTACATAAGTCAGTGGTGTCAATCTGAAGGTGAGGGACGGCCTTTCTTATAAATAGGGCCGCGCTCCCATTTGGAAAACCGGTCATTGTAGGGTTTCGGTAGCAAAAATACCCTGATATACTCTGATCCTTTGGCAGACCCGCCTCACTAAATGCAAGTATCGGAATTCGCGAACGTTTTAAAAACAATGAAAGTTCCGCATGGCGAAGGTGAAGACTAGCACAGTTCCATTGCATGAGAAAAGGTAATTGTCTTTGTTTGGCTTTAGAGCTAAGTTGACAATTTGAAGAGTCAGTCATGACACTCTTGCAGGTTTCGTGTCATCTCTACTATGGCTGGTTGTAGAAGCATAGCTCCTTGGAGTATGGTCTTGAAAATACCTGGCGGTAGGATAGCGACGAATTTCGGCAATACAGAAAAAATGAAACTTATTATGTCTCCAATCGCCATGGATCCTTGCTGAGATCTGGTAGTACTCTGAGGGGGTCTGGTATCTGTTACCACTTTGCTATACAAGCGCCTTCCCGTAGCACCTTGGCTTGGTACTTGGGCAGCGGATGCATTTGCTGTTTTTGGGGAAGATGTTACCATGTCGTTGGTCTCTAAAGAAGCTTCCTTCTGCTGCCCAGTGGTTGAGGTTGGGCTTGCTCTCTGTTTTTTCGCCTTGTACTTTGGAGGTCGGTAGCGTGTGTCCACTTCAACGGTGACTTCGTCCTCCTTATGAGCTGTGCTCGAGGACGGCATACCGGGCTCAACAATTTGACCTTCTGTGCTTTTGATAGGATCTGGGCCGTGGACAAAAAGCTTCTTCTTGGCAAGCGCCTGGAGTCTTGCCTTACAATTAACATAATCGGCTGGATGGTTCCCACCACAGTTGGAACATTTGACAGGTGATTCGCCTTTGCAGTCCTTTGTGGAGTGAGTCCCACTACAATGCTTGCATTTCGCATTTTCCTTGCAATATTTAGCCACATGGCCCAGCGCTTGGCAATTGAAACACCTTGGTGGCGCTTCGACATAGTCGATCACTTCATGTCGAGTAAAGCCAAGGCTTACCTTGGTAGGGCGTTCCGTATTCGGGCGAAAAGTGATCACGACTCGATCCGTGGGCTTAGCTGCTTCACCAGGCTTGCCATATCTCTGGTAGAGACGACGAGCTGCGATGACGCCAATGGGTCCAAGAAATTCTGTCAACTGTGAGTTTGAGTACCAGTCAGGAACTCCCTCGATAAGTCCATTGTTTTGCATATATGCCTTGGGGATTGTTGCCAGAACTGCGATTTCTCCTATAGAGTGAATCTTCAACAGTCGGTTAACTGTTGCCGGCTCCGTTACGTCGACGAGGAGTCCTCCTTTAGCAGTGAAGCGATGGCGAACAAAAGTTGCGCCAGCGGCTGCCTTCAGTTCTTCACTTAGCTTGAGGGGGTTAAGGTGTTGCAAACGGCTGGATTCTTGTGTTGGAGTCAGCAGCACGGGTATACCTGTTGTCCTCTTTCGACGATGTTGGACAAGGGTGAAACCATCGTCGTCATCGTCTGCCTGGGTTTCTTTCCTTGCATCACCGTTTTTGATGTACAGCTTCGCTGGTGTTGTCTCTGGTTGCACGAAGTCATCCTGATCGTCAAATCGCCTTTTCCCATGTATATAAGCTCGCTGACTTGTTAAGGTGGCACTGCTTGTGGTGTCCTTTTCAGCGGCCAGCTCTTGGTCATCCATTGGGTCGGCCTCCGGCGAGGTCATATCTAGTGGTCTAGGTACCCAGTTTGACCCAGGAAGGGATCTTCTGAGCGTCGAGTAGTACGGTGGTATAAACAGAGCCCAGGAGAAGGTGGAAACAAAGGATGCAGTCTCCAAACTTGCCAGAAAATCAGGGAGCCGTTGTCAAGAACAACCTCGACATTGACCACTTCTTTGTGACGACGACGCAGACGATAGATCTCCGCCAGCTCCGACTCTACTACCACAATGTAAATACCTCGTATATCGACTCTTAAAGGCTACTGAAACCGTCAGGTTAATTTCTACGTCACTACCTGTTTCGAAACACTTGCAAGACGACAATGCAAAACGTCAGTTTTGCTATTTCGCGTCCATTACTGGGCACAAAACAACCCTTTAGAAAAAGTTTGGAACGATTATGCATCTCGCGAACTTCGAGTCTGCACGCAGCCAAAAGCACGATAGAAAGCAACAATTACGTCCGGCCGTCTGGCTGCCGAGCGCCGAGCCTCAGCTTCATAGGGCAAGCTTCTTACGTAAAAAAATATCCGCTAGACAGTCCGAGCACGCGCCCGTACGGCCAAACGTATTCAAAAGGCCGCCACGCCGCACGCACCACTCCAGCAACGTAAGCGCACAGCGCACAGCGTACAAAGAGTGAGGAGTATTTGCGCTTGCCCCACCTGCGCCCTGTCCAAACCGCAGTGCGCTGCGAGCACGCGAAGAACGCGAGACGTCAAGAAGCCGACGCCGCGTCGATGAAAGAGAGAGAAAGAGAAATGTCGTCTAAACGTCCAAGTAAAAAAAAAGTGTCGGCGAAATGTAGCAAACTCTGTCGAGCATCGAATGTCGAAGAAACGACCTGCCGATGAAACATCGCAGTTTCGATGAAACGATCTGTCTATGAAACCTTGTTCGATGAACTGCGCGCCAAGAATGACGCTGCTTGCCACATGAAAAGTGGCGTACCTGATCGAGAGTGCGACAAAGAGACACATGGGGACCGACCCCAAACGACCAAACCAAATTAAGCACAGCCATGCCAAACCAATCCAAATAAAACCAATCCAAGGACGGCTGCACGTATCAAGATAATAAATGCTGACAGTATTTTATAAAGGCCGAGATGACTAAAAACCATGCCGGCTGATGATTCCTTAAATCGCAACCCACTCCGGCAAGCACGGTCGATCAACAAAAGCAGAAACAACTCGAGTGAGAAGGAAAACTCGGCCCTTAACGGTCTCCTCATAGAATGGCATACGATTGACAGACACCGCTGCCAACAGGGATTATGGTGAGATTTCAAACCAGAGGTACATCACTCTACCTAATATTACCGCCCCCCCCCCCCCCAAAAAAAAAAAGAAAAAAAGTTTGGTCGATGCATATGTTTATTGTGTATATATCCTGCATAAACTTCCGCAGAAGTACGTGTGGGTGGCACAAAAAAAAAAAAAAAAAAGAAACGGGGGTGATAAATGTAATAATCGTTTATTTGTGTACAAATGAGCGAGGTATGCACAGCGAGGCGATGCTCTAATCACTGCGGCGTTGTCTGTGTAACCTGTCGGAAGGCGCGTTTGTGTTTTATAATAATAATAATAATAATAAAGTTTATTTCCCATTCGATACAGGAATGGAGGAAACAGAGGGAAATTCGGTGTGTTGAACTTTCGCTGCCCTTGTCAACAGGCGAAAGTTCAACACACCCAATTTCGTCAGCTTGCAATTAGTTCATTTCGTACTTAATCCAGGTGAACGGAATTTGATAGAAATGTGCAGAGCATAAACATAAACATAGTACATTTCTTTCAATTTGGGTAAGCGGTTCAATAGTTTACTGTTTTGGGGTAGTTTCCCCGCCGCACGACTCACGCGAAGACAAACCGACCTGTAAGCGTGATGACCTGTGAGTGAGGACCGTGAGGACCTATGAGTGCGAGGACCGTGATGACTGTGAGTGTGAGGACCGTGAGGGCCTGTGTGAGTGTGAGGACCGTGAGGACCTGTGAGTGTGAGGACCGTGAACAGCTGTGAGCGTGAGGACCTGAGTGCGAGGACCGTCATGACCTGTGAGTGTGAGGACCTTGAGGGCCTGTGAGGGTGTGATGACCTGTGAGTGATGACCTGTGAGTCTGATTATTCGCGATGACCTGTGAGCGTGATGACCGTGATAATCTGTGAGCGTGACGACCGTGATGATGACGGCGAGTGAGTCTTGGTTCTGTGTTGAACCGTGAGGGTGAGTCCTGGTGATGACCCTATTTTGAATAAATCGTAATCATGAGTGGGCGTGAGTCCTGATTGAGGAAAAAATGGTGATCGTGAGTTTGAGTGAGGACAACTTAAAATGCCGACCTATGCCCACCAGTCCTCAGAGAGGCTACACAATTCTTGGAAGCCCCCAGGGAGGCCCAACATGTCCCCCAGGAGTATCTGGGAGTCATAGGGAAACTAGATGGCCACACAACTAGGCAGCTAGATGGCCACACAGCCACACATTTTGAGCGGTAGGGGAGAGTCGGGAGGAATGGGACGCTTTTCACAAATGCATTTTAGTTTTGTTTATTTTGAACGCAAAAAAGATGGTTGATGGATTATAGTACAAGTCGAAACAAGCTGCGCAAATTCTGCGAAACACAGGTTACTGCCACTTCTAGAGCAACTGCAAAAAAATAGTTTCTAACAGCTAAAATCTGTCCCATTCCACCCGTCCCTTCGGGTGGAGTGGGACATCCTTTGGGAGGAATGGGACGCCAGTAAAATATCGGTCCCAACGTCTTCAGCGGACATTAAAAGCCGATAGTTCCACATCAAACTTGAAGCAAGCTTGCAGGCGCTTCGTTCCCCCAATAGTTTTTGGCGCTGGCAGCTTCTTCACAATATCCGTTATTGGCACAGTCCCTATATCTTTCTGCGGAGGAAAGTAAAACTTTGAGCTCTCTTCTTTCTTTCGAAGGAACTGGACACTGACGTCAGTATTGTCACTACTTTCGACTCTACCCGTGTAATAAACGTCAGATTTTTTCTTACCAAATCTGACAAGGACAAAATCGCCTTTTGTCACTTGAAAAGTTTTGTTTGGGCAATCGGCCTCAGAAATGTCCCGCCTCTCATTATCGGAACCCGACATGTCACTGTCTGAATCATCAAATGCAACGGCAACAGTGTCGTCTTCCCTTGAAGAACTGAACTCCTTCTGAAGTCGCCGTTTCTTTTTTGGGCGGGTAGTGGCGACAGTCTTAGCTGTGATAAGCGCTCTTTTTTTCAGACTCTGTCGTGCCAGCCTCTCTGCAGCTTCTTGTTCAATCGCATGCTTCTCGGGTGTATCCGTAAGGACTTTTGTCCTACCTTTCTTCCTTCCTTTTTGCCCTGTCTTACGCGGTGCAGCCTTAGGGTAGGGCCTTAGGTCGCTCGGAACAATCCGGCTGGGAGATGCAGTTGACGTCGAGGCTGCGTTGGCGACAGTAGGTGGGAAGACATCTGTAGAGACGTTGCAAGCTCCATGGCCGTTTGTCTCAAAGTTCAAATCACTTTCCAGTCTGCTTGCGCTGTCCGTTTTCTCGGTGGTGGTGGCCGTCTGTCGTGACACTTCTCAGCTTACGGACGTTAAGGGTCTGTCAGTGACTGATGACATCATGTAGTCATCCGAAGTGAAGGGCTCGCTATTGAAAGGCCAAATTCCAGTTTTCTGAAAGCCCGAGATTATGTTCTTTTGTGTCACCGTTAATACGTAGGCGGATCCAACTAGTTGTGCAACATTGTGGATGGAGATGGTCTTCCCGGGGTTATTTATGAGCCAATCATTGCAAGCAGCGTTGTACCGAGATTTAAATGGTCCGTACACGGACACATCAAGTGGCTGCAGGCGGTGGCTACAGTGTGGGGGAAAGGTCAGCAGGATGACTCCGCTCTCTTTGGCCTTGTTGATGGTGTTGATGCTCACATGGCTTTCATGATTGTCGAGTATCAAGAGAATTGGCTCCTCCTTCGAGCACTTCGTATGTCTCACAGTGTGCTCTAACGCCAGCAAAAACAGTTCGCTCGACATCCAGCCCGACTTGCTTGCCAAACCGAGGCTTCCTGCCGGGGCGCCTTTCAGAAAAAAATCTTTAAACCTCACGCGTGGGAAAATGAACACTGGTGGCAGGGCGTTTCCGATGGCATTGACAGTGCACAAAACAGTCACCAGTTCGCCGCGTTCTGCGGATGTAACCTGACCGATTTGCTTTTCCCCACGTGCTGCTACTACCTTTGGTGGGTTGTGTGCAGTTGTGAAGCCCGTTTCATCACAATTGTAGATGCGGTCCGGAGTTAGCTTGTATCGGTCGTAGACACTTTTCAGGTTTGAAAGGAAAGCATCGACGTTGTTCTTATTGAAGCTTGTTGCCCGACCCAGACTGGTCGCTTCTGGCGATCGAAGCGATAGCTCGGGATGTCGGTCCATAAAGCCCATAAACCAGTCTCTTCCAGCTACCTTCTTCTGTTCCCATGACGCCGGGCACTTCCTCTTTAAGGCTGTTGCAAACTCGTACGCCAGTGAACGAACTTGCATTCTCGTAAGCCCATAATGCATTTTGCTTGCTTTCAGCAAATATTCTTTCAAGAGTACTTCATCTTCTGTTGTGAAGACCATTCCGCAGACCAAATTGGACTTGAACATGATGCCACCTGTGTCACCGCATTCTCTGTACTTCTTCACTGCTCGGCCAAGCAATGATTTTGATATTTCAAAAGCTTCTGCTACGTCTCTTATACTTTTCTTTTCATCGCACACCAATCTCACAGCATCCAGGATCAAATTGTTCGATGTTTGAGCTCTGTCGGGATGCTTCCTCTTGTAAACCCGCGGCATCTTCCTGAAAATGGAAATGGATCAAAAATTGGCAAATTTAAATATTCACGCACACCAAGCACGCTTAACGTCTTTGCATGCACGTAGCAGCACTCATATTGCTGCCTATTATTCACGTGCTTATTCCGGGTTTCTCGCAAATGTCTACAGTAATCACACCTTTTTAGTGGAGAAACATTGCATTTTATGATGCCCCGTTGGTTTAGCGCGTCTTAACGTCAAGTGTCGCAGAAACAGCCTGTATGTTATTTAACATCACGGCACCAAGCATTTGTACACTTTTAATAACAAATAAAAAAATAACTGCTTTCGGATCTAAAGCGGCGCAGCATTGTAGCTTATTCGCGAGACACAGCACCAGCCGTATGGTGGGGAGGAATGGGACACTGTCCCATTCCACCCGCGACTCAAATGTCCCATTCCTCCCCAGGTGGTTCGCCCAACGAAAAATACATTCAATGGCGAAAATTCTCTTGTTAGGGCTAAACTTGTTATTGCATGAAGCACGACCCTAACGCGTGTTTTCGAAGAAAAATTGGTATCAGCATAGGCAGGGTGGTTTAAAACTGAGAGAGGTGTAATTGAGTAAGCGGATACTTACTTTTGACACGTGAAAAACGAGAGTTGTAGTCAAAGAAAGCTCCGTCCGGTGAAGACGGCCACCATTACAGCCAGGCTATCGGTATGCTAGCGCCACCTCGTGAGCAGCCGATGAACGTGTTTGAACTAACTCCTGGAGAGATAAACGAGCTGTCCCATTCCTCCAACCGTCCCAAACCTCCCGACTCTCCCCTACAGCTGCTTCACTCTTGGAACGATGCTGGTGTGAGTACCGTAAAATACTGCGCAAGCGCCCATTCATACTTTTGAGATAATCACAAGAAAATGAGGGATGGGCGCTTGTCCAGTCATCAATTTTGGATAACATAAATGTACTGTACGTATTTTCTCAGATCTCGCAAATTTGGGAATGGGCGCTTAGTGTGTAATGGGCAGATACGCGGTATTCTATGATAGTCTGATTTTCGGCATGGAGTGCACTTTATAAAACCCCAGTCCTAAAGTTTTGTTGGTGAATCGAGGTAACATGACCATGTGACCCTGCTAAATTTAGAACATGTCCTCTACTTCTCTGCAGTTGCATCATGTCCTTTACTTTTGAAATTTCCCGTAATGAAATACTGCATGTGGTGATTTCGAGGACATGGATCCACATTCGGCGGCTTATGTTTTCCTTGAAAAAATCTTTGCAGAGTTTTTTTTCATCGGTCAGAAAGTGTAGTGACGGGTTTTCTCGTCATTCGCAGTGGCCGCCCACGCCCACGAACCCACGTAACAAGATGCCTCGACATCAGCAGTTAAGGGGTCAAATATCTATGTGGCAGTTGTATTACAGTGTAAGTTGGCTCCACTTAATATTAATGCTTTTTTTCTGACAGTTGAAAAGCATTTTGACACCAACCATTAGCATATTATCAACCCATCGTTTTCAGAAATTATCAGTCGTGTGACTAGCACAATTATGATAGTGGCTTGTTTTCTTGCTACAACAGAAGTAATATTACGGAAAATAGAAACTAAAGAGCTAGAGCGACTGTGTTTTTATTTAATTCCTGCTCAGACAATCTTAAGGCAGTTCATCACGTCTTTTTATGCTCTTGAGTTTTCTCTCAAACATTCTTCTCTGTGGTGTGATTTTGTAGGTTGTGGAGCTAGGGCCTGGCTCTGCAATTTTCATCGAAAGCAGCCAGCTCCGGAGTATTGAGACGTACTCGAAGACCGCGACAGCCACGGCGCGTGGATTGCTCGCCGCAGTTCTCACACAGCAGCCCCTTGTGATCTGCTCGGTCAAAGGTCAACGGGCCAAGGGCTCCCATGGGCCATCTGAGCAGCGGCCCCCACTGGACGTCTTAGCCGTCACGGCTATTTTGTGTAAGTTTTTGCATTATTTTAGTCTGCTCTGTTTCTGAAGGTTTTTGGCTTAAATCGGAACATTCTTCAAGCTCTGGTTCTATCGTGTCGGAAAACCACAACTAGTCAGCATTGCTGATGTTCGCAGCTTGTATCCGTTTTTGGTCGAGCAGGAAAGCACGAGTGTTAACAGGCGTTTGCCCGTTCATTATGGAACGAGCAGTTGTGGAATGGTTTTGTTGACGTCTGGCAGATTGAACCATTGACACTCTGTCCAATGAATCTTGACGACAATAAAAGGCTCTTGGCATGTTTGCTTACGTTAAACTGGCACAAATTCAAAACTTATCTGTCGACTTGCTAATTCTCTGCAGTGTCTCTCACAGTCGCATGAATCCTTGACAGCCATTTGCTACTGTACATCTGGAAATTCAAATCTTTTTACTTTGCAATACACGGTGCTAAGCTAATCTAAGGAATATTAACATTGTGCAGATTCTTGCAATGTTAGAATCGTTGCACGGCCCTGTAAAAAAGGCATGCAGGTGCACTATTACTTCTATTCGAATATCTTTTTGCAGAATTAAGATATAAAGGGTATAACTCCATCAGTAAGTGCTTTTTGCAGTCACTTAGTTTTTCAAAGCTGAAGTGTGTACATTTTTTTATCTCAATTGCAGCGCACACGAAGGCCATGTGCCAGACTAGAGGGTGGGACTACAATGAGAAGGTGATTCTCCTGTCCCTAGGAACGAAGCTGAGCGAGATGAGGTGCGGTGTCAAGCAGCTTGTGTAAAAATTAAAAAATATTTTTTGTACATGTTCATTATTCAATTTATATTTTTTCATATGGATGAGAAGGAACTTTTGGTAGATATTTCTAGAAAACGTATATACAGGGTGTTTTTTTATTCTTTCAGATTTGTTAATAGAAAAGCGCAAAAGCTACAATTATGCGGTTTGTGCAGGACAGTTATATGGACAACAGGACATTGTATAGGGAGATAGTCGCAACTATTAGTCGGCTAATTAAGTAAAATTTCTTAATTAACTTCTTAATTTGTGCAAATAGCCATATAGTTCAAATTAGAAACTTGCTGAGCCTCATCGAAAACCACGAAATCAACTATTTTTAGAAGGATATAACGCCAAGGAAGCATTTTACGGTGTTTTAAAAAAAGCGCTTCATTTGGACGCGTTTCTAGGTTTTGCTTTCTTATCGGAGCGCATCTTTGCGCCCGCGGTCCTGCCCACCGGTAATCGCGGCGCACAGCCATAGAATAGAATCATAGAATGGAGGGAAGTAGGGATCACGTGTGTTACGCGTCTAGGTCACTGGGGAGCAGGATCGCGGGCGCAAAGATGCGCTCTGATACGAGGCTGAAATCTAGAAACGCGTCCAAACAGAGCGCTTTTCCACAATGCCGTAAAAGGCTGCCCCGGCATTATATCCTTCTAAAAGGAGTTGATTTAGTGGTTTTCAATGATGCTCAGCAAGTTTCTAATTGGAACTATTTGTAATAATTAAAAAGTTAATTAACAAACTTTACTTAATTAGCCTAGCCGACTGATGGTCGCAGCTATCTCCCTATACTATGTCCCCCTGGCCGTATGACTCACCTCTACAAACTGCATAAGTGTAGCTTTCACTGTTTTTTTTTTTTTTAAACAAATCTGAAAGAATGAAAACAAAAAAATCCCCCTTATAAAGGTTGCCTTACCTGATTTGGACATATCTGCAGCCTGATATGGAGGCAGATATACCCCTATTTGGCAGACCCAGATATGGATATATAAAAAATTAGACATATCTGGGCAGATATGCCTTATTTAAACTGATATGCTTGATATGGCTAGATCTGCCCAATTTTTTATATAACCATATCCGTTTTTTTGTTTTTTTTTTTAATATCAGTTCAGATATGCCATTTTTGTAAGGGGTAGCATCCGTAACGAATGGCAAAGGTGTATTCCCTTGAGCGACAACATGCCAAAGCGGTGAGGTTAATAAGGGCGTAAACAGTAAGATGATTAGCGCGGTAACATAGAAAAGAGCCGGATGTAAAAGAAATAAACTGCGTTATGGTAGCAATTTGGGCCAGTTGGTACATGATCACCTAAAGAAGCTCAGTGAGGTGTCGGTCATTGACCTGTTGGGAGTCGCGTGCACTTTAAGAAAGTTCCGTAAATAAAAGGATAGGTTCTCCGTTACCGCTAATGAGAACTCGTCCGTAATCGTATTTAAGGACAACTTGTCTGTTCGTCTAGAATTACAATTATCTGAACAATTTAGTAGAGAGCCCACGATAAGCTTAAAAGCGTTCTATTAGATGTAGAACATTATACAACGCATCCCCTGTTTGAAAAAAAAAATCATTTAACATACTCTTAAACCGTTTTGATAACTTTAAGCAATAGGTGGCGCTAGTTATAAGCAAAAGAAGATGCGGTGTTGGTCTAGTAGAATCTTACTATCACTTATTTATTGGCGGCGAAGCTCCTTAGGGGCTAGCCATGTCCTTATGTCCGTCCGCTGTCGGGTGCACGTGCTCCCGTGCTCGTGTAGGGTAAAAAAAAAAAACGGATCTCCACGTGGTGAATGATGTTGATTGGGGCGAAGCTCTGGTAGTGCTTGTCTGCGTAGACGCTGAGCCGCAGCATGCCGTGCCTTTCGTTCGTTTTCATCTATGTCAGAAAGAGAATGTGTGGTATGGAATGTGGTTTAATACGCATTTGAGCATTTGACCGCAGCGTGACACGGACGAAAACGAACGAAAGGCTGGGCATGCTGCGGCCCAGCGTCTACGCAGACAAGCACCACCAGAGCTTCGCCCCAATCATCATTCACTACGTGGAGATGCGGTTGTTTTTTGAACCATACCGTACTCTGGTTTGCCGGGTTTTCCCGCTCGCGTCGGTCTTCTCGTGGTCTCGCTTAGACGTCCTCGGTGTTGAACCTCAAGATGAAAAGGCCGATCTGTTGATCGAAACGGTGAGTTTCTCTGCGCGTAAATATTGGTTTTGTACGTGAGGTACGGGTCCACCTTTCTGAAACTCGGGTTCCCGTAGGGGTGAAAAAAAAAAAAAAAAAAAAACTACGGAGTTTTTCAGCCGAGATGTTTCGTATTTGATGACGACGGTCGCACTTCTGAGTTCCCGTTCGCCGTTTAACGTTCTCACGAAACCTGATTTAAGCCCTTGTGTTGTATTTCGTCGCGAGCGAACTGATAGCGCGGCCCGTCACTCAGAGAGCTCAAGAGAGCGCCTCTCGCGTATTCATGCCTACGGCTGACCTTGTGTAACGGCAAGTGGTCGTGGTGGCTTGCATGGGTCTGAAGTCCCTACTTCAGCCAAGTAACCAGTAGACTAAGTAATTTACCCCGTAAGTGACTACGTCACAACATGGTGTCTGGGGCCAAACAAATTGTTGCTAGGGGCATTGCTATGGACGAATGCATGGAGACTCCACATGAGGCTAGATTTTTGCTTCCAAGTAAGTAAATAATTTTTTGTAAACAAACTAACTTCTTCATATCTAATTATGAAGATGTTCTTGTCGTCTCAGTGTCGTATTGCCACGATGAAAGCCATTTCTGAAGTATTACTCTCCGCTTCGCGTTGGTGGCAGACGACACGATAGATTTGCTGGCTTCTGTTCCAGCGGGCGTCTTCACTGAATTGCGTCCGTAAACGAGCGACAAAAACAAGTGCATCGCCATGGCCGTAGAGGCCTCCGCAATGTGCGTTTTTTTTTTCTTTTTTTCTGTGAAGAACCCAGCTTAGTTCAGGGGGGTGAAAATGCCGTTAAATCAAGCTACGTCATGCATGTCAGTTACGACGACGACCTGAAGTGCATTACCGGCGTAGTGCAGTCCAGCG